GGGGGGGTATCTTCCAAGAGGAAGCGAAATTGAAACGAGGAACTGTTTTAATTTTTTAAATTATGTAACAGACTGTAGTGCTAGTACTAGATTGATCTTGTTGTGTATATATTTGTGTATTCAAGTTAACCTTTGTACCTAACCCAGTGGGTATGTTTGTACAATAAAGGTCTTCATTCATTTAATAGCCTGGTATCCAGTCTTACGTGATTGGGGCTGTTGTGGTGTTGAGGCAGGCTGTGTCTTCAGGGGCTCCTAATAGCTTCCCCGCCCAGTGAAACAGGCCGACCCGGTAGGAGTGTTACACTAATTGACTAAATATAACAGATGGTATAATGCTTGGGGATTTGGTTTTGTTCGTGGTAGGCAGGGCTAATCAATCTCCCATTGTGAAATACACACCGGGAAACCTAGCCGTGGACACTCTTGATTCGGGCTTACATTGCATACCCTCAGCAAGAGTCGTGGAAAGATCCATTGGCAGAACTGCACATTTCCCGTTGGCTGCCCGTTTTTTTGCTGTCCCGGGCTTCCCTATAGTATAAAACCACAATTGGCCAGGTTGCCGATGTTCAGATCAGCCTAAATATTCCACAGCGCGACCGAGAACTACTAAAATAGCTGGTCGGCACATACAGGCGGCCATCTTGTATTTAGTCGGGAATGTCCGCTACCGCCGTCGGGAACGTTCGGTAGCCTTTCCGGTTATGATGGGAGAGTTTTCGCTCATGCTTCGGTAATCGTGACGCTACCGAGCGTTCCATTATGGATCTTTCCACGACTCTTGCTGAGGGTAATGCAATGTAAGCCCGAATCAAGAGTCGCCACGGCTACGGGAAACCTAGCTGAGGCGGGCGGGACAGAGCTCCTACAGCCCCGAGAAGAACCCAGCTCTACCACGTTACAGACTGGATACCAGGCTAGCATTATTATTAGAACGTGTTGTCAGTCATGCTAGTCTTTTCTACAGCCAATGTCTATCTATTCACTGTCTCCATGATCTTTTCAATGTCAAATAATATTGACAAGTAGTATTTGTCAATAGTCAATGTCTATATATTCCTGACATTTTGATAAATTATTGATGTGAACCTATTGTTTCATAGATTTTGGAGATTTGAGAAGATGTATGGCTTGAGGTGTCTGAAGACTGCCAAAGCAGGTGAGTTGTAAATTTGTATTATCATCTTTTCATCTAGTCTCATAATTCTGAAAAGAAGAGCCTGAATACCACCCCCCCCTCAAACACACACATACACACACACATACTCACACTCGGACACACACACACACATACTCACACACACACACACACGCACACGCACACACACACACACATACACACACACATACACACACACACATACACACACAGTACACACACACACACACACACACACACTCACACACACACACACACACACACATTCACACATGCACAAACACATACACACACATGCACACACACACACACACACACACACACACACACACACACACACACACACACACACACACACACACACACACACACACGTAGCAATTTGTTTTTAGGAGACCGTCCTCTGTGACAGGAAGTTGTCATAAATGTCACCATGCAGTCCACATCTGTAAGTAATTAATCCTCAATAAGGCAACAATCTGGTACCCAGACCCAGGAAAAGCTAATCTCCAAAAAGATCTCACTATTTGCCAGGCTGGCCCTCATCAACATAAATTTGTAAATCATGATTTTTTGGCGGTACTTTTATATTCGCAGTTTTTGCAGTCACTTCTGTTCTGAATATATCATTACCGACTTTCTTTCTTCTGCACCTGTCGCCACCCCAAACATGTAGGCCCGCTTTACACACACCATTTCTAAGTTCACTCGACCAAGTCGACTTGAAAAATTTCTGTTTACACATGGGCCGCAAAGCGACTTGACACTCCCACTGTGCCACCCTCCCCCCAAGGAGGTCTGACTTCTGTATCGCAAATTTATCATTACCGTGAACAAATGATTTGCCAACTTTCTTTCTTCTAAACCTGGTAACAGCGCAAACATTGCAGTTCCACAAACATGCCCATTATTCTTAGCCTGCAAAATATTCCTACCGCGAATTTAAAGTGATTTACTACACAACAGTAAAGCCCTGGTCACAACCTGCCGTACGTGCTTTTTGTCCATACATTTTTTTGAGGTTACGTCTGCTACGTTTTTTCTGAAAACGTGGGGAAGGAGTGGCGTCTACGCACGTCACTCGCACGGTTGCGCAAGGTGTAACACTGTGGTCTGCACGCCACGTCTGGCTGTGAGCGGTTGCGTGCATCGTTCGTTGCGGAAGTGGTGAGTTGTGCGTGCTTACAACATACGATCTCTGTACGATTGCAACTTTACCGTAAGGAGGCCGTACTCACACATGCTTCTTTCATACGGTATGTACGGGGCACGCGCGTTGCTCGTACTCGCACGCACGGGTGGTGAATCCACAGACCACACGCAGAAAAGGTTTTACATGCACTTAAAAAGTTCTGCATGCTCCCAAATCCTTAGGATTCTGTATGGAGGCGGTACTCACCACGCACGGATGCCCTACGTTTTCCCACGTTTTTGCACGTAGAAGCACGTACGGCGGGTTGTGACCAGGCCTTAACAGTATATGTAGGCACTGTGACTTTCATACAACCTAAGTTTTTCTCATTTCTTTCAGTCCCTCTGAAGGAGATAAACGTCCAAGTGGACATCATCGGATACGTGTCCAATGTGACGTCTTCTCTGGAGTACCAGAATGAAAAAGACAACCCTGTTGAGGCAGTCTTCGTGTTCCCGCTGGACGAGTCGAGCGCCGTGTACAAGTTCGAGGCCCTCATTGAAGGTCGCAGGGTCATTGGCAAGGTCAAAGAAAAACAGAAGGTAAATTTATTTAGGTTATGATCATAGTACAACAGTTTTGCTACCTGATTTAGATATAGATACATAGTTGTATTTTTCATCAGCTGTATTAACTGTTATCACCAAATATATATGATGCCAATGGTTTCTGAAAAGAGTTTTTAGAATGATCCATACACTGTACTTCCTAAATTTTTAGTGTTGCAGGTAAAATTTGTCTGTCTCGTGCAGGCCGCACGAGTGCGTGACTATGATTGAAGAAAAAAGGATCTCAAGCACAGACTATTAGGCCACAGCAAGTAAATTTTATGGATGACATTCTCCGCAGAATTCAAATCTAATGCGAGAGGGCAAAAAAAAAACAAGGCGGACCAAAAAAAACAAGATTCCTACATTTTCAAATTTTGACATTATAAATCTTGTTAAATAAAAAATGATACCTATATTGTGCTATGTTTAGTACTGCCAACTGTTAGTGTTACAACATCGATTTGTCACTGAAACAAATTTGAAAAATAAAGGTTTTTAATCACTGTACAAATGGTTTTCATTCAGTGGGAACATCACATATACATGTACACAGCTACTATCACATATAAAAGAAAGGAAATACATCACTGCGTGAAAGTAAAAGACAAAACATTAAATCAGAGCCTTTTCTTGTGTCCTCTCTTCATAGTTATCTGCCATCCACCTTCCGGCATGGCAACAGACATCTTTGCCCATTTTTGGCATGTTCACCACTATCACAGAGGAACAAAATTTCTTGTTTTTTTCCCCAAAATCGGGCGAAAATCAATGCACGCGCTGATGTCATCCATATAAATTACTTGCTGTGGCCTTATGATAAAGCTTCATATTTCAGAAATAAATAGATAAATTTCTAACAGTAAATTTCTGGTATGACACAGGCGCGGGAAGAATATGATGACGCCATAGCTAGCGGGGAGGGCGCCTTCCTGTTAGAAGAGGACGACCGCGCCGGAGACGTGTTCAAGTGCAGCGTGGGAAACCTGCCGCCCAAAACGTCGGCGACCGTCCGGCTGAGCTACGTGTCAGAACTGCCGGTGGAGGCTGACAGCTCCCTCAAGTTTGTACTCCCAACTGTCCTCAACCCTCGCTACTCATCCGGTACAGGTTAGTGGTGTAAGGCCACACCAATTTAATTTCATGGTTAACGGATTTTTCGAGAAAAATAATGGAGCGGGCGGGCGAAAAAAAATAAATAAATAAAAACAGGCCTAGGCATCCTATTATGGCCCAAAATGGTACGATAGGAGCCATGAAGTCAACACACCAGGCTGGTTCAAAATTTAAACAATGAATTTTGAACTTTTAATGATACCATTGCATTGAAAGATGGGATAACTGTAACAACTATGATGAAAAGGACTGTTTCAACTGTTCAGGGCACAATATGAGCATTTTGCACAATGTCATGATTCTGAATTTTTATTTTTATTTGCAAATCAGAAAAAAATGAAGCGGGCGAATCCGTTAACCAAGGAATTAAATTGGTGTGGCCTAGTGGTAAAATGTAGAAAAACAAAATCGGGGCTCAAAATTCAAGTTTTAGGAATAGGTGCAATGGTGCTAGCCTGATTAAATCGCTTTTGCCGGCTGCCCAACATCCAGGAGGGGCCAGTAAAGCCGCGGACGGCAGAGTTTGCGTTATACAGACTACAATGGTGCACACAGCCTAAAAAAAATTGGGGTGCACCATATGAATATATTCTACAATTTTTTCTGACATTTAGATGTCAAATGCTAACCTTATGAGCAAATACAACCTTATATGAGACATTCTGCTGAAGTACTATACATTACAGGTTTTGCGCAGGAGCAGTATACGTTTTGCTGATGTGCTTTGCATACTCAGAATGACATGTATGTCTGTTTTACTATTTTTAGAAGCTGCGGTCTATGATGACACCTACATGGCTGGGCCGACTGCTGATGTTTTGACCTCTGACCTTCCTTACGTGCTCAAGCTCAAGGTCATTGTGTCATCTCCAAACTCCATTGACAAGATCGAGTCCCCGAAGTCTTCCCTTGACGTGACATATGGAGGAACTTCTGCTCAGGTCAGAGGCCAACAATTTTTTTCTATGTTTAGGCCACACCAATTTAATTTGTTGGTTCTCGGATTCGCCTCTTCGTTTTTTTCTGATTTGCAAAAAAAAAAATTTGATTCTGGTCCTGAATCAACTGAAAAATAGCTCATGTTTTGCCCCCCAACAGTTGAGGAAAGTCCTTTTCTTCCTAGTTTGTACAGTTTTCCCATCTATCATTGCAGTGGTTTGATTAAAAGTTCAAAATTCAATGTTTAAATTTTAACCCAGCCTTTTGTGTTGACTTCATGGCTCATTTTGTAGCATTTAAGCCTATAATAGGATGCCTAGACCTGTTTTTTCTTTTTTTTTCGCCCTGTCTCTTCATATTTTTTCTGAAAAAATCCGAGAACCAACAAATTAAATTGGTGTGGCCTTACCGAAGGAAAACATGTTGTTTTTGCTCCATTTCCTCTCCTTCTTCTCCAAACAGTGACCTATGATTTGTTGACGTCTGTCACCATGGTGACTGGTGTTGGGTTACATAATGTTGCAATGTCATGGTCTGCTCTTCTCCTGTCACCATATACTAGTAGTGCAATCATCAATGTATTTGAATGTGTTTGAGTAAGAATTAACAGGGCAGACCATGTCCGTAGGTAAACATTATGCATTTGCTTTGTTTCTTCTCTACTTATCCTTTTTTTTTACCCAAAGGCCACCTTGATTCAGTTATATGGATGACATCTCCGAGCGCATTAATTTTTGTCTGTTTCCAAAATAAAGTCTTGGACCTTACTGCAAATATATGCCATTGATTCCAAAAAAATATTGGAAAATGATATTTATGTTGTAGAATTAATGTGACAATATCAATTCCAAAGGAAAAGAAGAAACTGTGAATAAATGAAAATAAAGGGTCTATTATTCACCATACCATACTCTGTGTACATGTATTTATAATTTAGTCATTTGTTTAACCTCAAAATCAGGTGACTCTGAAGGATGACCACAAGTTTGACTCGGATGTGGAGCTCTACGTCCACTATAAGGACAAACACAGACCATTTGCTGTAACTGAGCTGGGACAGGGAACAGGTATTTGAATTCTGTACTATCTGTTTTTTGGTAGAATTATAAAGTGATGTACAGTAAGGCCACACCAATTTGATTTGTTGTTTCTCAGATTCACCCACTTCATTTTTTCTGAATTTCCAAAAAGAAGAAAAAATTCAGGCTCTAAATCAACTACAAAATGCTCATATTTTGGCCCACAAAATTGAAGGAAGTCTCTAAATATCTTTGTGTTGTCACAGTTTTTGATCTATCAATGCAGTGGTTTGATTAAAAGTATGAAATTCATTGTTTGAATCGCAAACCAGCCTGGTATGTTGATGGCAATGGCTCCTGAAATAGCATCTGGGGCTATCGTGGCATGCCTAGGTCTTTATATTTTTATTTTTTTTCCCTGTCGCTTCATAATTTTTCTGAAAAAATCCAAGAAGCAACTTATTAAATTAGTGTGGCCTAATGACCGAATTTTTTTTATTTTATAGAAGGATTCATGGCTGACCACACGGTCATGCTGACCTTTGTACCTGACCTTTCCCGCGATGACCTGGTCACGACCTGCGGAGAGTTTATCTTCATCCTGGACCGCTCCGGGAGCATGTCCGGCTCCAACATCAAGAACGCACGAGAAACCCTGCTCCTGTTTCTAAAGAGCCTTCCCATTGGTTGTTACTTCAACATTGTCGGCTTTGGGAGCTCATACAAGACCTTATTTAAGTAAGTTAGGCCACATCAATTTTGGATTCGCCCGCTTCATTTTTTGCTGACTTGCAAGTAATGACAATGACAATGACAATGAAGTTTATTGCATATTCATGCCCCAGTGGGGCTAAATGCACTCTTAAGTTACAAAAAAGAAATTGGCAAACTGTGCTATGTTCTATCTTTATCTATTTATTACTGTTATTGGTTAATTACTGTGTTTTCGTTATTATCATTGCCATTATAATTTATTTATTGTTTTCGTTATTATCATTGCCATTATAATTATTTATTGTATAATTTTTGTATGCTAATGTTATTATTTGTATGTGATTGTTGTACTGTGCTGTGTAATACAGGGCCCCGTTGAAAAGCAGTGCCATCACTGAATTGGGTTACCCTGTATAAAAATGACGGAAAGAAAGAAAGAAAGAAAGCTCTACATGTACATGAATCCATAAATACCTTAAAGTGTTTATGTCACCTCGATAAGTAGGTAAAATGGATATAGATATGAAAACTATATGTCTAAAACAGTAGTTTCGATATGTTTGTAGTCCCGAAAATTGAGAAATGAAGTTTGTACGGCTTTTCAAAGTTGGCCTTTCGCGATCCGATCAGCCAAGCCAAGCCGGCTTCGCTAAAATCCGTCACGTGACTCCGTGACGTCAGCGTCCTACCTGGGCCGCGATTACTTTTGATACGGGTGTTCCGGCCCGTGTGATAACTGTAAGCGGTACAGCCCAGGGGTTCTTAACGCGTACGGCCCGGGGCTAACTTCCAAATGCTCCATAGAACGATTCGAAAGCATTTTGCCCTAACCGCGTACGCCACTTTCGAAAATTCAAATACAAAATTTGGAAGTTCGAATTGATGTTGTTACATTTTTGGGTTTAGAGACACCAAATATTTGCTTATTTTGCATTAAAAGGAGTGTTTTCTTGGGTGGCTATGACATAAATAAAATACAATACAGTGTATTCCGCAACACCCTCGGTCCCAGCCCTTCCGCGGATTGGATCTCCCTCTGGCCTTCGGCCGTCGACGGGCGATCCGACGCGCAGGCTGGTACCTCGGGAGATACGGAATACCCCGTGTTGTATTCTCTATCTATTGATATACTGCTGTGGATTGTGTGTGATGTACTGCAGCAACAGTCAAAAGTATGACAACAAGAGCCTGAAAACAGCCTGCAAGGCTCTGGAGAAGATGGAGGCAGACCTGGGAGGAACTGAGATCCTCCAGCCACTACAGTTTGTGTACAAACAACCTGCGATAGAAGGGCATCCTAGACAGGTGGGGAAAATATTGCCAATCCCTTTTAATATTAAAATATTAAGATATTAAAATATTAAGATATTAAAATATTAAAATATTGAAATATTGAAATATTGAAATATTGAAATATTGAAATATCGAAATATCGAAATATCGAAATATCGAAACATCGAAACATCGAAACATCGAAACATCGAAACATTACAACATTACAACATTACAACATTAAAACATTAAAACATTACAACATTAAAATATTAAAATATTAGCAGTAGCAAAAATTTCACGGTGTGAGAAAAATTGACTTGAAGTACATGTATATGCTTGTCACCACAGAAGAAGGAGAGTCGGCAAATTATTTGTTCAGGGTAGTAATAAATTTGCAGTACAGAAGTGACCATGAAAACCGTTAATATAAAGGTTCTGCAAATATAAAGTGTTTTACAGTTATGAAGTTTTTGCAAATGAGCCCTTTTTTACACAACTTTCTTTTGGGGGATTGCCAGCTACAGTATTAATTATTGTAGCTACATTGTACATGTAGGTTTACTCCTGGAAAGCAACATTTTAATTTGTCAGAAAAAAAAACAACAAAATGACTTAAAAAACATCTTCTTACAAAATGTTTAATGTATTTTAATATGTTTTAAATCTAAACTTAATTTAATTTACCGTGTGACTCCTCATAGAAATAATCCCCATATCAAATCCTACAATGATGTATGTGGGGGCCCGCAAGCCCTTTTCCGAAGAGCGTAATCGACCGTTTTAATTCTATGTAGAGCGTAGACGAGCCGCTCTAAAATTTTGCGTAGAGCGTATTCGCTGTTTTAATTCTACGTAATGCGTTGTAGTCACTTGGAATTTATCGTAAAGTGTAATTGAGAGGTTTCCGAATTCAGCGTAGAGCGTTGTCGGGACCCTCCCCCCTTGCAGACCCTTATGTATGTTGTAGCATAATGAATCTGCATAGGTGTGCTTTTTTTTTAATACAGCTGTTTCTGTTGACCGATGGAGACGTGTGGGACACACAAGCATGTGTAAGTGAGGTGGCGAAGCATGCCGACTCTGCGAGGTAAGAGTGTGTGTTTGTATGATTGTGTACTTGCGCATGTGTGTGATGAATTTGCTTTTGTGCCCATAAGTTTTGAAATTTGCTTTGAATCCACAATGTCTAGTAGATGTCTTATGCTATATGAGTTTTACTCTTATGAGATCAGATTGTTAATATAACATTTAAACTGAGTGTCAGCATCTGTCTTGCTTTCATTTGACATAGATTTGTGGCTCATGACAGACAAAAATTTGGCCCAATCTGTCTTTCCATACCTTTAATTAAAAATATATCATTAAACTGAGCTTAGTCCACCAGCAAAATTTTCCCCTTAAAAATAATACAGGAAATAGCATTTCAAAAGATCAACATTTCAACATTTTTCTTGGTACACAAGCCTTATGATCACCCCCACCCAGCTGGAATTGTGGCACATTTGCTCAACATGATGTTAGGCCACACAGATTATTTTTTAAGGATGACATGTACACATCCACGCGTACACAGTACATGAGTACAGTGCCAACCCATAATGCTGCAAAAGTCCAGCATGTGCTGGCTTGTTGTAAAAGTGGTGAGGTACACATTTGCAATACCAGCTTTGCATTCCTGTGGTTTAGCAGCTTTTTTTTTTTGCTAACATAATTTGTAATCGTCAGCGAAAATTTTGTGTGATTCGTAATCACCCCCCCCCCATGCAGGCCCTCATCTATAAAATTAAGTCAGTGTGGTCTTATGTCAAACAAAACCGAAATGACAATTAAGAAAATTCCATGCTGGACATTTACATGTAACATAATTCGTAATCGTCGGCGAAAATTTTGTGTGATTCGTAATCTAGATATCCGAAAAGCGATCACAAAATTAAGAATTAGTTGTCATAAATTAAACATAGAAATAGGTTGATACAAGAAAATACCAAATGACCAAAGGTTCTGTCCATTTTGTCCAAACATGATTGAAAATGAGCACCATTTTATAATGCACTGTACACTATACAATGATATAAGCGCTTATTGCTGTTCACCTTTCTTTCCGCTTGTTCAATGGATTTCAATACGTTAGATGCTATAGATAAGTGCAACTACATTCTCAGGGGAGATAACCAATACAGTGTTCAAATAGAAGAATACATTAAAGAATGTTTCGATCTTAGAGAACACAATCAACACATGTTAGAGAATAGTTAAACTTTATTGTTACATCATACATATACTCTGTACGTAAGATAAATTTATCCACACATGTATTTAGCTTTGTTAGATCTTTAGTTAAGACCATACAAAAGTCTCTGTACTTTTTTGTTGTGTCAATAAAGAATCTCATTTATAAAATTAAGTCAGTGTACTGGCCTTATGTCAAACAAAACGGAAATGACAAAGAAAAATTCCACAATATGGCTATAGAAACACAGCAACAATCTCATCTCACAATGACTAACCCTGATCTCACAGGTGCTTCTCTGTGGGGATCGGTGAGGGTGCATCCACCGCACTGGTCAAGGGAGTGGCCAGGGCAGGGCGGGGCAAGGCCGAGTTTGTGTCAGGAACTGACAGACTGCAGGCAAAGGTACTGAACTATAGTATCTATTAGAGCATGTAACATGGTGGAGTCAAACCTCAAAACATGACCTACATATGAATGTCAGCATTCATATTTTGAATGACATCCTGTCGTTTTCATTTGCTGTGTCGGAAAAGATATTGTCTGCAACTGACAAAATTCTAATGTTATATCCAACAGAAACCCTAAAATATATTTAGGTTTTGCTTAATAGGCACAGTACGTTCTTCCCACAGACTTTTAACTTAACTTTAATCATGTGACTACTAAGTAAACATACACAAACTTTATCGTAAAAGGTTGAACTTTATTCCAACACAGGGATCAAATTTTCAGCGACCACTGTCGCCTTCATCAGGATAATTAATGACCAATCACTTCACAACGTGGTCTCGCGAGAATTACTTCACTTAATAGAGATGGTGGACGATATAAACTCCCTGGCACTTTTGATCAATTGCTTACATCACGTATCAGTAAAATCTCGTGTGAATAAGGTCACGTGTTTGTAAACCGTGATTCTCGCGAGATCACGTTGTGATGTGATTGGTCATTAATTATCCTGATGAAGGCGACGGTGGTCACTGAAAATTTGATCCCTGTACAATTGTGTGTTGGAATAAAGTTTAACGTTTTACTATGATTACTACCAACACAGATGAACTTTCATGATACACAAACTTTCATGACAGTAAAAAATTATGCTGCTATCATGACCTAACCCTAACCCTCCCACCCTGCAGGTGATGCGGCTGCTCAGCTGTGCCCTTCAGCCGACAGTGACAGGTGTCAGCTTGACCTGGCAGCTGCCTGATGGAGTGACAGCTGTGCCCATCCCCTCCACACCTCCACCTATCTTCAGTGGGGACCGCTTCATCATGTATGCGCAGCTACAGGGGCAGGTGAGAACACATTCCATTGTCTTACATGTCATTCACAGCCAGGTGATATAGGTGATGCTAGTTCTAGGAAAAAATGTTGTGTTTCCAGTAATAAATACAGACTTACAAGTCTGGACCTGAAACTTAAAACCTCTGGACTTGAATCCGGACCTGGACTTGAATGTGGGTATAGGTACACAGCACTACTAAATTTAGGTTCAATTGTCCGGATTCAAGTCCAGAGGTTTAGGTTCAGTTCCGGACTTGTAAGTCTGGACGTAAACCCATGGCATGTACAAAATTGCATGTAGGCAACCTTTCGATGTTGTCTGTGCAAAACTGTGGCCACATAACATGGAGGCCGACACTTGACGATGGCCGATGGCAATGTTTTCTTCATTTTGCAGCACAGATTTTGCAATCTATGGAAGGTTTTAGGTGGTTTGGAAAGAAAAGGGGTACGTGATATGTTTTTTTGTAATGAGTCCAGAAATTGGTTCTTGACTTTTAGGTTTTTTTTTTACATTTTTACAAGTCCAGAACCGGTCCAGCAAACTGGTGCACAGCACTGAGGACTACCTATAGCTAAGACTTAGGCCACACCAATTTAATTCGTTGGTTCTCGGATTTTTTCAGAAAAAATATGAAGCGACAGGGCGAAAAAAAATAAAAATAAAAACAGGCATCCTATTATAGCCTCAAATGCTACAATACACATGTATGAGCCATGAAGTCAACAAAAAAGGCTAGGTTAAAATTTAAAGTATAAATTTTGAACTTTTAATCAAACCACTGCATTGATAGATTGAAAAAACTGTAACAACTTGGAAGAAAATGAATTTCCTCAGCTGTTGGGGGCAAAATATGAGCATTTTTGAGTTGATTCAGAACCAGAATCTTTTTTTTTTTTGTAAATGAGAAAAAAATGAAGAGGCGAATCCGAGAACCAACAAATTAAATTGGTGTGGCCTAATTTAAAAGTTTCCTTTTCCTACATGTAGCTGCCGGTGGCTGGTACAGAAGGTTCGGTCACCCTGAGTGGACAGGTCCTTCAGGAGGAGATCAAACACACCCTGAACCTGACCTTACAGCCACAGGACCAGGACATGCCAGGTGCAGAGGACAGCCCTGATCCTAAACAGTTACACCGGCTGGCAGCCAAGACTCTGGTTAAAGGTGAGGCCATGTTGATTTGATTATATTGGATGACATGATCCTCTGGGAGTCCCAAAACTAATGCAAGTGTGCTAATAAAAAAAAAAGTTTGGAAAGCAAAAGTTTCCTTCATTATGAAATCTACATGTACGTGGTCATAAAGGTTGAACAAATGATTAAACATATGGTATGGCAAATAATAATAGACTCCTCATTTTCATTTCTTCACCTTTTCTTCTTTTCCTGAATTGATGTCAACATTCTGTGACATTATTATCGTTTTCCAATACTTTTTTTGCAATATGTGACAGATATTCGCTTACTAGTATTTTGTAAGATTTACAGTATGGTCAAAACCTTTTTTTTTTTAAACGGAAAAATTCCATGCTGGCTAGAACATACATGTAGCAACGAGTCACTGTACAATAGCATCAATCGTAAGGTGTGAGGTTGTGTGACGTATACGGCATAGTTCTTGGCTGAAAACCAAGAGGTCCCGAGTTCGAATCCTGTCAATTGTCACCAATCTCGTGCCCTTGGGAAAGGCACTTCCCTCACTTACATGTAACTCAAGTGAAAATGAGTACTCCGGTATTGTCTATTGTCCTCTGCGTTGGTGGTGGCATGAAAATAATTTTAAAAGAAAGTTGAGTGTGCTGTCACCGTGTCTTGTGGTAAATGTTGGAATAAAAAGAAAGGTAAGGCACACACGACTCTGGTCAAAAGTAGCATTTAATAAAGGTATTCAAAGCAATTTCAGTGTGGCAAAACCAAAATTCTGGATGAAAAATCTGTCCAAATTGACATTCACTGCTATTTTTCAGCAAATTTTTCCATAATTAACTTTGTACTAAGTCTTGAAGCGTTCGAAATAACCTCAAAACAAGGTACATTGTATGTGATGAGGAGTCTCTTTATTTTTGGGTACTGCAATTAATAGCTAAAACAGTTATTACTGTAACGTCAGTTCTGTATACTAAGATACAAAACAAGCAACCGTTTTCTGTCAGTGACATCGCCTTTTTGCCTCACAGATATCAGTATGCTAAGGAATATGTTGACTTTACTTTTCTACGTGAAAAGAATGACCAGAATGACTTTGAACATCCAGTTTTGCTAAGTAAAATTGTATTGGATGCCTTTAAGGACACACCAAGACTGAAAGGTGAAGTTTAAGGTCTAGCTCCCTGCTTAACTAATAAATATTTTTTTTTTAAAGAAAGGAATGACCTTCGAATTAATCATCATTATCATTTGACTTTTGGTTCACGTAGATGGGTAATGGTACTGGTAGTTGTGCCCCAAAAATTGAGTTGTACCCATGTTTCCTGATGATCATAAGGCCACAGACTTTTTGAACTTGGCTTCTTAACCACCCTATATACTACAGTAACTGCTCCTGTCAGAAAACCTTACGTCCATCTCCAACTAGTGTCTTTTCTTTCTATCCAGAGCTAGAGGTGAAACTGGAGAAGGATGGCGATAACACAGGCTCAGACAGCGATAAGACCGTCTCAGACTCGGCCAAGAAACAGATCGTCGACCTCAGCGTGGCAGCCAACGTCGTATCAAAGTTCACGTCCTTTATCGGCGTGGATAGCGAGCGGGGAGAACCGATAGAGGGCGCGATGATACGGCGTCACATCCCTCGACATGCCCCTCTGATGAACTGTATAAGCTTTGGCATGTCACCAGCAGGTAAACAATTTATCAAACAATCTAGTGTTTTATTTATTTTTATTCATTTATCTTGAGGACACATGGGTGGTCCCTTCAGCCCCTTGGGGCTGATTTCCAAGGGAGCCCATACAAGAAAATAATGTAACATAAAATAATAGTAATTAAACGTAACAGAGAAATCATAAATCAAAATACAAGATCAGTCAGAGATGAGATGACAGAGGTCAAGCTCCAAATAATACAAACTTAGGAATTATAGTAGATCATAAATAATAAAGTACTTGAACATACATGTAGTAGTAATATACAAGCAACTAACAAAAAAATCATAATCGGTCAGTGTTGAAAAGGAGTGAAGTGTCAGAAGTTTAGTACTAATCATATTTCAGTCTCTCTTTAATGATTTAAGGTGGGTGCTTTAAGTGTTTAGTGAATTGTAAGTTACTGCCGTTCTATATGCAAATGTACGTTGGCCTGCTTTGGATGTGTACAATGTAGTTGGGTCTGTGTAATAATTTAGCTTGTCTAGTGTGGTAGTTATGACCACTTTTGGCTAATTATATTTAGTCTCATCCAAATCCACTCAAACTTGTCTAAGATGACTGACAAGGGGACTGAATCAAGAGGTCTTGTCCAAAAAACATGGCGACATACTTGACTTAGGTGGTCATATTATGCTATACTGTATTCAAACAAAATAGAACCATTATAGTAAAGAGACTCTTTCTAGTACACAACCAAGTCTTTTATTCACTCAGCCGATGTTTCAGTGACCGTCTGTCACCTTCCTCTGGGCAATTCCTTCCTTACTGGTTCACATCGCAAATTGCAGCACAGGTGTCGCTGCTATAGATGCATTACCAAACATACAATATTACATTTCTATATGCGTGATCACTGGGAAATGTATCTACAATGCGGTCCCAAACGTACGGGAGTTAGATATACAGTACATAATTGTGGTAAGTTATTAAACAGTTACAGAGAACTTCACTAAACTAAGAACAAAACTGAACTGAGAACAGATTTTACAATACAGTTCCAAAGGTACAGGAGTGTCACATGTCATCATAGTAGTGCTGCATACCGGTTCATTGGACTTAGATCTGAACTTGTAAGAATGTTTTAGGTTCAAGTCCAAAAAAACCTAATAGTCAAGAACCGAGTCCGGACGTATTACCATAAAAGACCATTTCACATTACCCCTTTTTTTCCAAACGACCTAAAACCTTCCGTAGATTGCAAAAACTTTGCTGCAAAATGAAGATAACATTGCCATCGGGAATCGTCAAGTGTCTGCCTCCATGTTATGTGGCCAAAGTTTCACCCAAACAACATTGCAAGGTTGCCAACATGCAATTTTTTATATGCTATGGGTTTAGGTCCGGACTTACAAGTCTGGAACTGAACCTAAACCTCTTGACTTGAATCCGGACCTGAACCTAAATGTGGGTTTAGGTATGCAGCACTACATGATAGTCATTTACACAATAACTTTTATTTCTTAAAGATGCAGTCACCGGAACGTTGGCTGAATAATAAAGACTTGGCTGTGTAAAAAGAGTCTCCTTACTCAGTATCTTTAGTTACCAACCTGAAGAAACTATATATACATATATATTCATGGATGGAAAACAGAAGAATGTGGACTGTTTTTCGTTGTGTACAATTATAGTTGTCCTTAAAAGATCTGTTGCATATTAGTTATGCTCCTTGTAGATGTCACTTTGGTCACCTGTGTATCATATTGGGGCTGATTCGGTATTTTGGACCTGTACATGTATTGATCAAATTTTGCAGTACTGTACCAGTACACAGAACTCGCACACAGCCCTAGTCCCTTCCCATTGTTGTTCCCCCCTTGTATGTTGTTTGTTTGTCTTCTCCAGTTGCATTTTGCGCCGGTCCAATGGCGATGGCAGATTCATACGATGAGTGTGATTACGGCGGATCGGAGGATATGGAGCTCGAGTGCTGCACAGAGACTATGGGGCTCAAAAGTGAAGAGAGTAAAGAAGGCATTGCCTCACGAATCGTTGGAAGCGTAAAGGGCCTGTTTTCGTCAGGTGAGCCACTGATGGTTGAATCTGTGGTTGAAGTGTGGCTCCTGATGTTTCAGGTGCATCAGGGGGCTTTTTCGGTGGGTTGCGTAGACTGGTCGGAGGTGGTCCAGGACCAGGAGCTGCAGCCAGGCCCATGGGTAAGTTGGAATTTTCCATCAGGCCACACCAATTTAATTTGTTGGTTCTCAGATTTTTTCAGAAAAAATTTGAAGCAACAGGGCAAAATAAAAAATAACAAGGGAAATCGTAGATTTCAAACCTCCGGGTTTTTTTGTGTTCTATTGGTTTAGGTTATTTGTTTGTGTGTAGTATGAAAGTTATGTGCGTAATATGACTGTATGTGTTTGATGGCTACTGATGGTTGGTTCGGTATGGACTGTTGATTAACGTGTCTGACAGTCTGCACCGTCACCCGCGCCATTACCCCCGCCGTCATTGCTGCGCCGTCATTGCAGCAATGCTGCGCCGTCACCCAAAATTTTTATCGGAACCAGACACCCCTCTGTTTGACCCCTTTTGAATGCTAAGACCCAAAACTGCAACCGCCCCATTCCTTAACAACATGGTAATTACCATTTTCAGCATGGCGGGGGTGTCCGGAGCACTTAAAAACCTTTTATTTCGACGCCCATAAACACATATGCAATTAAACAAAAACGTTCTGCATCATCTGCAGCCCAATAGCAATACGTATACCGAACCACAGACAAATCCGTCCAGCCGATCGCGAGAAACAGCTGCTGACAGAAATGTTTCGAACCATAGTAAAACCTCCTCGCGGAAGGATATCTCCTTCCCCGGAGGTAAAAACAGGTCTAGGCATCGATCCTATTATTATAGCTCCAAATGCTACGATAGGAGCCATGAAGTCAACACAAAAGGCAGGGTTAATATTTAAACAATGAATTTTGAACTTTTAATCAAACCACTGCATTGATAATGATAGATGGAAAAACTGCAACAACTAGTAAGAGAAGGACTTTCCTCAACTGTTGAGGGCAAAATGTGAGCATTTTTGAGTTGATTCAGAACCAGAATCTTTTTTTTTCTTTTTTTTTTGCAAATCAGAAAAAAATGAAGAGACAAATCTGAGAACCAACAAATTAAATTGGTGTAGCATTATATTAGTGACATGGTCACATTCACTGTAGGCCTTGGCACGGTTTTGATCCCAAATAAGACAGAACCATCAACCAACAAGAATGTTAAAGTCATACATCTACAACAAGACAGATGAATTTATTTACAATTCAGGGCTCTAAATACTGGGTGCATGAGCACCTTAGTGTACCCAAAATTGGAGCTATGCACCCATTTTTTTGGAGGGTGCACTGGTACACTCAAATATTTTTGTATGTATTTCTTGAATATCAAATGTATAATATTATATACAGGATATTCTTGGCATCTATATAATTATATAAGTGTCAGAAAAATAATAAAATTAAGTAGTACTTGTTTAAGATTTTATTGTTAGCTCCCATTTCGGATTCAAGCTCAGAAGAGGAGCAGTAAGATCTCTAATGATGTTTTGTTTTATATAGTGCACCCAAAACTTTTTTGTGCACCTAATTTTTTTAAGTGAGGTGCACCAGTGCACCTATTCCCAAAAATGATCTATTGTCTAGTTTAAAGATGGCTTGCAATTTGGTAGCCCAGCTAGCTGTTTTCCAAGGAGGCATCAGCACATTACAAATTAAGACACAACTGTTTTGTTACATTCAGTTAAATGAATGAGAACAACATACATAAAAGCATGATGTCCAAAAAAAGCAATGTGTTAAAACAGAGTCATAGTCCAAAAACTCCTAGCCATTCCATGGTCAAGACACAGACTGAAAATTTAAGTATCGATGTACATGTACTATCCCGAGAACACCTTAAAGGAGTGCTAACCTCCAGAAGGAAGTGCTATTTTCCGATACATCATGCTGCAATGAATACATAACTAGCCGACTTTTTACATAATTTCGCTTGTACGACTACTTGCGCGGCGCATGTTTGTAAAGTGATATTAATATCATTTTCCCCCATGCTGAACCACAATTGATACATCCGGGAACTCTGGCTTACGCAATATTCATACACTTCAGGTCAACATACACATTTTTCGGTGAAAATGGTAGGAGACAAGCACACTAACAAGCTGATTATTGAGAAATTACTTGCTTTACTTTGCTTGACCTATGGCTTGGATATTATAATATCAGGATTTCGAATACAGTAGGAGCCAGTTTCATCCTGCGTATTTTGATTTTCTCAACTTATTTGCATGTAAGTATCACTTAAACAGATAATTAGATTACACCACTTATGGAAAGGATAACTAGATTACGCCGTTTTTTTTTCATCGTCAATATTTGCGGCATAAATGAGGGGCGATAAGGACACCAAGAAGGACAATGGTTGGTAAGATACCAAAGAACACAAAACGGTACGAATTTTTCTTATCGCCCCCGAAATGAGGTCTGTAACGTAACTTTTTGTTTAAAACATAGACACCAATGGGGTAGCGTGGTGTATTCTGGGATAGTTTTGAGGGTATTTGGAGAGTTTGTCCTGGATTCGATGCGTTTTTTAAACTTGCGCGCAAAATGGGCATTTAATGGTATACTGTAAAATAATATGCATGTTTCACTTCCAGAAATAAATGCCTGTCGAAATATAGCACCCCCTTCTGGAGGTTAGTACTCCTTTAAGTTTACGATGGAACAGCAATGCACAGTAAAAGTGACCAGTCCCAAAGCTTAAAGATTTTCATTCCTTTTTTTTTGTCCGTAAGGCCACACCAATTTAATTTCTTGGTTAACGGATTTGCCCGCTTCATTTTTTTTCTGATTTGCAAAAAAAAATTCAGAATCAACTGCAAAATGCTCATATTTTGTCCCAAACAGTTGAAAACAGTCCTTTTCTTCCTAGTTGTTACAGTTTTTCCATCTTTCAGTGCAATGCATGGTATCATTAAAAGTTCAAAATTCATTGTTTAAATTTTGAACCAGCCTGGTGAGTTGACTTCATGGCTCCTATCGTACCATTTTGGGCCATAATAGGATGCCTAGGCCTGTTTTTTTTTTTTTTTGCCCTGCCGCTTCATATTTTTTCTGAAAAAATCTGAGAAGCAACAAATTAACTTGGTGTGGCCTAATCAATAAAGTAAAATTGGATTTGATGATAGAGGGAATGCTTTGCGTATATGAGGGACCAAAAAGGACACATGCTGAGGTGAGTCGTACATTGTGTACATGTACGTACGTGTGCAGTTTTTGCAGGTGGAGGTATTAGAGGTGGAAGAATTAGGCTTCGCGGTGGCGGTGGAGGGCCAAATCCTAACACAGCGAGGTCAGGAAAAAGGGCCGCCATGAAAGGTATGTTTAGCTTTTCCAAGCTGAAGGTCTTTATTCCTTGCATACTATTAAGGCCGCACCAATTTAATTTCTTGGTTAACATATTTTTGTAGAAAAATAATGGAGCAGGCGGGCGAAAAATAATGAAAATAAAAACAGGCCTAGGCATCCTATCATGGCCCAAAATGGTACAATCATAGGAGACATGAAGTCAACAAACCAGGCTGGTTCAAAATTTAAAGAATGAATTTTGAACTTTTAATGATACCACTCCCTTGAAAAATGGAATAACTGTAATAACTAGGAAGAAAAGGACTGTTTTCAACTGTTCAGGGCAAAAAATGAGCATTTTGCAGTTGATTTTGAATTTTTATCAGAAAAAAATAAAGCAGCGAATCCGTTAACCAAGAAATTAAATTGGTGTGGCCTTATCACAATTTTTTTTTGTGGTACTTTTTTTATTCGCGGTTTTGCAGTCACTTGTGTACCGTGAAACTATCATTACTGCAAACAAATAATTTGCCGACTTTCTTTTTGCTGTACCTTCTGTGAATGCATTAATTTAATAGTTCTGCAAATATGTCCATTTCTTCTGACTGCAAGCTTTTGCTACAGCAAATGTAAAGAGATATACAGTATCTATAACCCTGCATACTTTTATTAGCATGTGATAAAAAAAGATCATTTTAAAGCTATGGACTTTGGTCAACGTACATGTACATTTTGTAAGGTCCAGAACTTCATTTCTTAGAGATGTGAATATTCATCAAGTAGGTAAGTCATTTTAACCTTTACGTTATATACTTTTAACACAACCACATGTAATATGCACTGCTACCACATGGTGGCGCTGCAGCAAACACAATACATGTACTTGTTTTCAAGGTGTTGTTGGATGTTTGGTCAACATTATTGCATCAGAATTAATTTTGCCTGTTGCAGATGATATCTTTTCCTACACAACATTTGAAAACTTGAATGGCAGGATGTCATATTTAAATACAAAAAATACAACCTTCAACTAGAGTAACATTTGCAAATCAAATGCATAATGTTTGCCTAATCTGACATGGTCTGCTCTGTTAATTCTTACTCAAACACTTTCACATACATGTACTGCTAGTACATACATGTATATGGTGACAGGAGCAGAGCAGACCACCATGAAATTGCAACATTATGTAACCCAACACCAGTCACTATGGTGACAGATGTAAACAAATCATGTCATTGGTCAGGTCAGAGGTCACTGTTTGGAGAAGAAGAAGAGGAAGAAACTGAGTAAATTACTAAAAACAATATGTTTTCCTTCGGTAAACATAACTGTTACAAGACGTTATGCCAAAGTGCTGTGCACAATACATGAAGATTATGGGTTTTGTGCAGGTGCAGTACATTCTGCTGATATTCTGTTTCCTTTCCATTCCCTCTTCTTCGTTTTCACACTTTCTACATCGTACACTGGTCTAGGACCCACTTTTCAGCATTATAATTAAGACATACAGAATGTTGCTAATTCTTCAAGATCGAGGCTTCTACCCTGACACTTCTGTTGTTCTGTCTTTAACCTACATGTACATGTATGACCTTAGCTCCCTCCCTGCAACATCTAGATCTACTTCTCTGTCAGATCATGGAGTTATCTCAAATATTATTTGAGCTATTAAATAGCTCCATGCATGGTCAGATTGATGTACATGTACACGCAGTACAGAAAGTGCAGAATGGAACAAAATGAAATGAAAAAAAGAAGCAAAATATGTACAAATTTGGGGAAGAAATTAGCCACACAAACAAAAAATTGAATTTTTAGACTAATAAGTTATTGAATAGGTTTTGATTATTAATTATGTTCCCGCAGGTTATTTATTAACCACTCACATTTGTATTTAAAACTTTGTTACATATTTTCTTTCATTCCATTCCATTTTGTTCCATTTTGCGCATTCCATGTACATGTCCCTGTACTGACATGATGATGAATTAATATATCGTGCTCCTGAATTTCATAGCTGCTCCCCAAATGAAGAAGGCAAAGTCCATGCCTAGAACATCATCAGGAAAGCCAGCAAGAGCTCTCAAAGCCCGAGCACCCGCTTATGATGATGATGATGATGATGATGATGATGATTCAGAAGAAGACAGCGCCACTCCCTCAACTGTCATCCCGCTACAGATGGCTGAAGGATCATGGGAACTGGATGGTCACTTGGCGGCTGTTCTAGGGCTGGAGTTGGACAGACTGAAAAAGGAGTGCCCTGTACAGGTATACCGTATAAGCAATAATAATAATAATAATAATAATAACTTTATTGTGCAACAGTTGTACAGTGTACAAAGTATATAAACTTAAGTAAGTACATGTTAACTACATTTTCATAAGGCTAATCCAATACAAAAGTGGGTGGCTAGTATGAGATAGGTATCAACTTACATAATCGTTGAAGGAGTTTCTAATATCCATACAGTCTTTAATACATTTGTATATATCCCTATGTATAGCATGTACAGTAGGGGTTGTCACAAGTTAATAAGTTCATTGTGGTGAATGCTAGACTAAGGAAAGAATCTGATAGTCTAGTGTACAGTGTATTGCGTATATCAATATATTTAGGACACAAAATTAGAAAGTGATATTCGTCCTCAAAAAGCTCTGGACAAAATGGACAAACCCTCTGGTCATTGGGAATTTTATGGAATCTTCCGGTTTCTATACTAAGTTTGTGACAGCCAATTCTGAGTGTTGAATATGTGTGGTCATCTAGGTCTCTGGTGTGTGCATCTGGTTACAGGGCTCAAAACGATGGCCACTGACCACTAAAATTTAGGCCAGGACAACTAAAAAGTACACTTTGGGACATTTTTGGAAAACAGAACAATAATGAACATCAGAATGTCAGCCCTTGTTTTGTTTATCAGGCACACGTCTCGGGTTTTGGCTCTGGAAAAGTCCCCCCCCCCAAAAAAAAAAATTCCTGTTTTAAAATTATACCTCTGCAATTATACTAGTGCACCTGGGAGTCAGAACGTAAGCAAAATAAAGTTGACTTCAAGTTGTCATACAATACTACTCGAAAGACAGGTTGGGGCACTACATACTAATTTTGTGACAATTGAGATTTTTTTTGGGGAAAGTAGGAAGGTGAGTTAATTTCGAGGCCTGTGGTCAGTCCCTTTGAGTGACCCTTTTCGAGTTGTTGGTAGATTTTTTTATTTATTTTTTATTTTATTCACATGGATTTTTGAGCATTGGATAGGAAGCACTTGTTGTGCTTATGTAAATCCTCTGCTCATAAAACATAATACAAATGTAAACATAAAGATGACATAAAGTATAGCTGCATTAACATAAAATGAAAGTGGCTGGCGCACCAATACCTAGCATAACATTATTGAGATTGGTCAAATCTTCCAGAGTGGTGGATATAGTTAAACACAATATCAAAGATACGGCAGTTGGTAGGGTATGGGTAGATTTTTTTTTCGGGAAAATATGAAGTGACAGGGCAAAAAATCTCCAAATATATCCCCAAATGCTACATACAGATAATAGCAGCCATGAAGGTTCAGTTTGTACCATGTAAACCACTTTCGTTCACTAAGTATTTAGCTGCCATTGCGTGTTGTCATCCACACTCAATTACACAAATATCTACATGTACAATGCTTTTTACAAGAGAAATGATTGATTTAAACGACAATTGCACAACATTTGATTGTGATTTGATGCACATATGTAGATGGGAAGTTTTGTATGATCTGTACAGTAAACTTTTTTTACAGCAATTAATAATACTGTTAGTTACATTTCATGTTTTCTCCTTTTTCATGTTTTCTCCCACAGGACAAGACAGTGTGGGCAACAGTGCTAGCTCTGGTCTGGCTCCATTCCAAGATGGCAGACAAGAAGGTTGAATGGCAGATGCTGGCTCGCAAGGCGACGGCCTGGCTGAAGTCCCACCAGCAGGGCTGGTCCGCGGACGACGTCGTGGGGAAGGCGTGCAGTATTCTGGGGGCGAAGGTCGACCCTAGTGCCATCGTAGGCTGAACAATTCCATCTTAACCCTTGTCCTGCTGGCATTCCAGGCACAATATTTTTTCAATAATTTCATCCCCAAGTTCTGCAGTGGCATAGTCATTTCATCATTCATTGCTGCAAAAGAAATACCTCCAAATCGTACCTATACAGGGTGCTATATAGACGGTACCGTATGTGCAGAATAACAATTGTTGTGCTCCGCAGGACAAGGTTAAATTAACTGTGATTATCATGAAAGTTCATTTGTGTTCAACTTGGTAGTAACAACTTGGTACTACCATCTTAGTGATAGTAAAATGTTGAACTTGATTCCAACACAAAAAGTACAGAGAGATCAAATTTTCAACCACCACTGTCGCCTTTCTAAACACATCCACATCAAATCACCTGAGACCATATACGGCGTCTCAAGTTAAAATACTGGACACTGACACATGACTGTGTTTAAAGAAGTATAAGGAGGCCATATACCTGATCAGGGCACTCCAGCAATCATTAAACAGAGATGGTGCATGGACACGTATAAGTCACGTGTGAATAAGGTCACGTGTCTGTAACTGTAACTCTCTGGTTTAAAGTACATGTACTTAGTATCTACAAGTAGTAAAAGGAGGCCATATATATCAGGGCACTCCAGCAATCTCTAAACAGAGATGTTGGATGATATAAATAGTCCCTGTCGTGTTTGGTCAATTGCTGACGTCACATATACGTAACGTCACATGTGAATAAGGTCACGTGTCTGTAACTGTAACTCTCGCGAGTTTATATTCGGAAGTGATTGATCATTACTATACTAGTAATTATACTAAATCAGATGGAGGCAACAGTGGTCGTTGAAAATTTACTACCATTTACATTTTACTACCATCTTGTGATTGTTCACAACTGCATGGTTCAACACAACTTTTTTTTCTGATTTGTTTTTAATAGAATTTATCGCTGTTGATTACATTTGCAAAAGCAGTAACTGGCAAGCCTTCTTTGCAGTGTATCTAGGAGTGAATAGTATTTTAATATTAGTTAGGTGTTTTTTTTTCTGCTTTTTAAAGATCACTGCTATATTACAGTTGAAAAAGCAGTAATGATCACAAAATGATGAAGGTGTTGGAGAAAGATTTATTTTACATCAATAGGATAATTTGAAGTATGAAGACAGTAGTACTAAGTGGCAAAGATATGGTTCACCACAATACAGGAGTATAATGTAACAAAAGGATTGTTGTGTTGCAGAAAATAATGATTGTGTTGCAGAAAGATTTATGTCACATGAAGATGTTAAGATATGAAGACAATACAGTTATGTACTGAAGGACAAAGTTTGGATACTAGTATGTTTTTATCAAGGTTATAGAATGACTGATTGTCACAAAATGATTAAGGTGATGGAGAAAGATGTATTTTACATTAAGTAGACGATTTGAAGACAATACTGTTATGCACTAAGCTAAGGGCAAAGTTTGGATATTTTTTAGCACGTAGAGCTGTAGGGTAGATGTTTTATGGTACAATTTGTATTAACTTTAAATTTACAAGATCTGAAGTTCTTTTCTGATATCTACATGGTGATATTCCTGCAGGGTGAGGAATTGTTACAGTAGTATTAACACCTAATGTAGCTCGTTTTCTCTGTGTTCTTATAATATTAATATAATTGTTAATTACAAAGACAGCTGTCAGTTTAGATTTCAGATAAGGCTGGGAAGTTCGAGAAATCTTATAATAGAAGTTTATTTTTTTGCAAATTCATGCCAGAGGGCTTATTACACCATACAATGTATACAACATACATGTGAAACAAGCTACTTTTCTATTCAGCACAATTGACCATTCTATTCAGAACAAGTGACTATTCTGTTCAGAATACAAATTAAACGTTTTGGGTTTACATGTACGTACAGTGTGTAATGTACAAAAATTTGCTATTGCAAAGGTGCTGAATACTAGTAGTACTGGAAGAAACAGCAGATGATTGCATCAGTTAGATTCACTTTCATGAGGTGTAATTTTGATTCTTATATTTTCACCTGGTACTTAAAGGCCTCATTCTAAGGGTAGGGTGGTCTAGTGGTCTATATGATATTATAACGTAATAGTTACTCAATATTGTTGCCTCAATCATATCATTGCTAATCATTCCATTTGTTGCTAAAAATAAAGTTTGGAAATGTTGTTTTATTGTCAAAGATATTGCCTTACCGGTAGTTTTAGTCTTAGACTTAATGACTAAGATTTGTAGTTAGGGTCCTTGTGAAAAGTAACTTGGAATTAAAGCAGTCGTGGTTCAGAAGGTTTGTTGTTAAGGCCACATCAATTTGATTTGTCGGTTCTCGGATTTTTTCATAAGGCCACACCAATTTATTTCCTTGGTTAACGGATTCGCCGCTTGGTTTTTTTGCCAAAATGTAATAAAAATAAAAACAGAACAAAAATCCATACTCTCGGGTCCCGAATTGGGGCCCCAAAGTCCACCCGGTACGTTGTAATTTTTCAAAATTTGGGCATAGTTAACAGCGTTAAAAATACATTGCTTCAAGGCAGAAACATTTTTCTGAGTGCAATTTGTTCGGAAAGCTAGGTTGCCTCTTCAAAAGTTCGTCAAAAAAATTCTTTTGATATAGAACTCGCCCCCCACCCCCTTTGCACATGTCACCATTCATGGGACAAAACTTCACTGACGACAGTCAAACGTACGGCAGATTTACTAAGTCACCAAGTTTACCTGTAACAACATATCATCTCCCTTTTAGATATATATTATATTTCATTTAGAAACACGTATTGTGTCGGAAACATGTGCTAGTAACGGGCGTTAAAAGTACAATGTAATCGGCCGAACGTATAAACTCGGCCTGTGCGGCACATGCACACACACCTTCAAAACGATCTTTTTTCCAGGGAATATGTAAAAATAACACGACATAACAATGTATTCTGGCATCACAAACTGTATTACTCTCAAAAAGTACAAAATCCTACCACAAACATGAGAATTTGGCAAAGTAAGAAGTCCTCCATGCACGTGCACGTAAGTCCATTCACTATTTCTCACGGTCGGAAGAGTCCACTTCGAGTAGGGGGAAACAGGTTCTTTTAATTATAGAAATTACTCTGTGAAAAATACTACTTGTGCATGTGGCATTCTAACAAAGTTACATCTTATTTAGATACCTATAAACAGGAGTACAATTGCAAATAATACATCAATCATTACATCTAAATTCTTTAATAAAATGGTTCCCCCTACAAATAAAAACCCCCATACATCAAAGACTTTATAGTGAAACCCTAGACCATTGAATTTGTGGCAACTTGAAGAGTGTGTCAATGTGGCTATTTGTTTGAATGATGGCTATGTATAATGTAGCTGTAGCATACCTAAAGTGTATAATGGGAAATATAAAATGTATACTACCGGTAGTACTAGTATTTGGGAATTGGGGAAAGATAACAGAAGAAATAAAATATCTGTAAAAGTAGTTAGTAATTCTTTTGCCAATAACTTTTACACATTCCTGGAAATTTGTCTAAAGCATATATTTAGGATATTGTAAATTTCAAGCTCTAAATAACTTCCATATCAGCCAGACACAATAGAATGCCCAGCCCAGTGGTAAGCTGTGTGCCCTGAACCAAGAACAATGGGATCTGAACAGAGCACCCTGATTTAAACCACTCTTTGGAACTTTGAAAGATGAATAAAAGTGAAACCAGTTGGATGGGAGTCTTGAAACGGACAGTTTGTTGTTCATACAGTAAAGATGTGTATCTTGCAAAATAATACGAATAATTGTAAAGGGATGTAAGAGAAGTTGCTCATGTACATGTAGTAATGGTCCTTTCAGTTCAATAAGTGTCTAATATAATGTCTTATATCATTTTGTAACTTAACTTAATGGATTGCTTACTACATGGCTGTATGGCAGGTGGTCTCAAATTTTTATTTTTATTTTTTTTTCGCCCGCCCGCTCCATTTTTTTTCTAGAAAAATCCGTTAACCAAGAAATTAAATTGGTGTGGCCTAAAGAATATGAAGCGACAGGGTGCAAACAAAAAAATAAAAACAGGCCTAGGCATCCTATTTTAGCTCCAAATGCTACGATAGGAGCCATGAAGTGAACACAAAAGGCTGGGTTAATATTTAAACAATGAATTTTGAACTTTTTATAAAACCACTGCATTGATAGATGGAAAAACTGTTATAACTAGGAACTGTTGGGGCAAAATATAAGCATTTTTAGTTGATTCAGAACCAGAATCTTTTTTTTTCAAGTCAGAAAAAAATGAAGAGGGGAATCCGAGAACCAACATATTAAATTGGTGTGGCCTTATGGTAATACATGTAGTTGAATTCTGAGATAGGAATTTCATCAAAATAAAGAAATGCTGTCAGGGTGTCATCATCTGATGCAGCATTGTGTATTTTGATGGGTAAACAAGAATGATTTTTTTTTAAATAATAAAATTGACCAAATATCACGGCATTAAGTAACTAAAGCTTTGCCATACTGGTGATAACAAGTGCAGGCGACAAGAATTCGTGACCAAACCAAAACACCTGGTGACGTGACAATCGCGTGTTACTAGTACATGAACAAAGGTTGACCTATGACCTATAGCCATTCATGCATTTCAAGCCTCAGCGCAGCAAGTGGCCGCTTGTGCTTCATCCGTTTCCGGGTAAAAAAAATCAAACATGGAGAAGGATGCTAATATTTCCCAGCTAACTGGTCGGTGGAGACAGGACCACTCCCAGAACGAGAACTACGATGAGTTTCTTCGTGAAAACGGTAGGTACACTCAAGGAGCTTTGTGTTTTAAAGCCTCCTGTGCAGGCTTCTGAGTGGGCGGGAGTTTTGATACAGTAGACACCTGTCAGGCAAAATATGCAACGTATTTACCGCAGTATCAAAACTTAGTATACGTGTTGCTGTACGTTACAGTGTGATTTTATACTGTAAACAAGAGTTCCACAATCTCATACCTTCGCCAAATGAGGTTAACCCTTGCGGGTGACGAATTATACAATTTTAATCATTGATTTTGTAAATAAGAGCCTCATTTGCATGGACTATGTCAGTTGATCATATTCTTCATCCAATGACAGCCTTATCATAAAAAAAGGCTATTTTAGCACTTCCTCATAAATTATGCAAATGAGGTCATGATTTGAATAAATTATGTTTGTTGATGTTCACCTTCACTTAACTTCCAAATGTGGCAAGTATGAAATTCGGGGTGCAGCAGTTACAACTATGAAATTATAAGAATTTTCCATTAATTATGCAAATTAGGTCCTCATTTACATAATATATATCCTCAGATGTTTTTCTCGTTCTCAAGCAGATGTCACAAGTGTTTCATAGTTCTATTATCGAACAAAGCAGAGTTATAGAATTTCCTCATTAATTATGCAAATTAGCGCCAGATTTGCATAATTGCCATCTGATCATGTCAAGCATCACTTATACTACTTACATACCAAAAATCACGACAATACGTCATCCGGTTCTTGAGTTATCGTCCTTCAAATTTTTTTCAACAAATGCTCCTGCAGTTCCAGAACAAGGAGCTAGGGGACCCAAACTCACGTCACTTCTTCCCTACCACAAGAGCTATCTACCAACCAAAATTCGTGACCCTAGCATGTCCAGAACAGGAGATATCAAAACCGGAAGTTCAGCTGCAGTACCTAGGAAAGCCGCCAGGGGGCCCAAAATCTAATCATTTCTAGGTCTCATTAAGACCTACCCACCTACCAAGTTTCATTCCAATCCATCAACTGCTTCTCGAGTTATCTTGCTAAACCACACACACACACACACACATACCCACAGACAAACGCTACTGAAAACATAACCTTCTTGGCGAAGGTAAATATATCTATACTCAATACTGTAAGTTTGTCAGTGGCTTCAGTTGCCTCAAGTCAATCATGAAATATAAAACTATATAAAGAGTTGAGTTGACCTAATTAGCACTGCTATTTTACTTCCGGGTACGGAAGTGTCGTTTTGGGTGGCTGAGCTGTTGGGTGGCTGAGCTGTCGTTTTGGGTGGCTGAGCTGTTGGGTGGCTGAGCTGTAGTTTTGGGTGGCTGAGCTGTTACTCTGATGCCTGCGGCTTGATTGATTGATTGATTGATTGCTGTGTGGGTTTGTGGGTCTGTGTACTGACAGCACGTGGGTTGGGAAGGTTGACAGGCAGATTAACAGTCGAGTTCGGAGATCTAGCCGCGTTGACTGTAGGTTGACATCACATGGATTGACAATTGGAATAACTGGAGGTCAGAAAGTCAGACTTAGGAAAATATATGTTTGAAGGTCACGAACATGAAGGTCACGAAGCCCCAAAATGCTTCTCGGAAGTCCGGAATCTCAAATTTCTGTTTTGATTGTTTGTCTATTTGTTTGTTTGTTTATTCAACAGGTTTGTCGTGGTGGATCCGTAAGCTTGTAAAGCTGTTCAAAATCAGCCCTATAGAAGAGTACATCGTCAACGGGAACCAAATAACCTACCGACAGTACACCAATCAGCAAAGGCCGTCGGTTGACATGACTCTAACTCTTGGCCAACCACAGAACATCTCCATGCGGGGTTTGGGAAACTTTGAGGTAAAGATGCTTTTGTTTGTTTCGTAGTCGTTCCTTCCTCATAAAAGTCTGGATATCATTTTAGTCAGTCTAATCCATGCGTCACCCACTGTAGGTTTCAAGTCTCCGTTACATGTATGCACTAGCACCCCTGTTTATAGTTGTTCATACGGAAAAAGCTTGCTGCTTGGTTCTGTACCCTTTTTCTTTCATTATTTCACTCCATACTTCAGTATGGAGTGAAATACTGTTTTTACTGATGATTCTTCTTCTTCTCCTTCTCCTCCTGCCACTTTTTTAAATTGATTCAACTCCTTCATTTTTGGGCGAAATGACCTGAAATTTCGTATAGAGGTAGAGTGGGTAAATACCCCTAGGCGTTTTTTAAATGTTTTTGATACAAGCTTTTACAATCGTTTTATTTGCTTTTTAGCGGTCCCCATAGGAAAGTACTGTGGGGGCATACGCGCGTGACGTAATAAGAAAGAAATTCGGCGGCATGCCCATATATGGGCATGCAAGCATGAACCTGACGCAGACCAATCTATTCTTCTTGCTGATTGGCTGTTGGATTTGATTGGATTAACTCAATTAACACCTGTTCAAAGCCATTCCATTTTGACAGTATGAACTCAAGCGTTTTGGTAGGTACAGCACAGGCCACGAAATACGCATCAATTTTCGAGGGACGTTCTGCGGGAGAGTGCAGGACGCTGTGCGGGACTTCCCTCGGGAGAGTGCGGGACGTCCTCCGGGAGAGTGCGATACGTTCTGCGGGAGAGTGCGGTACGTCCAGCGGGAGAGTGCGGTACGTTCTGCGGGAGCCAGACATTTTGCTCTTCTCTGTTGGAACAACGCAAGTTGGAGGTCAATGACCTGCGCCCGGCGTGTAAACAAGATTGGACAGGGAGCGGCTGTAATATCAAAGGAGCCGGCGGCTTCTGCTAGCCGGGTTGATAGTTAAGTAACATCAAGGTGGTTCAAAAGCAAACCTGATAAAGAAGGAAACCCCGTAGTTGAAAGTCTTGGTGGCTTGAGGCGATCGATACCGCCATGCTGTTTACTTTATATGACATACAATGCAGTGAGTGATGTGTATCGCACCGAGCTAGCTCGGTTGGTAACGCGCCAGGCGGCAATCCCAGAAATTGTGAGTTCGAACCCCAGTGCATCGGATATTAACATTTTAAACAATTTTATCATTTTTAACAATTTTATCATTTTTAACAATTTTATCAGTTTTAACAATTTTAACAATCCTGCATTTTAACAATTTCAACATTTTTTTTTGATTTTCGTTGTTTTGCTTTTAACATTCAAAAACTGATTGTTCTTACTCAAGAATGTCAATAACTTAGAATGTTAGTCTTTTGTACTTTTCCAACATACAAACCAAAATCACTTTGATGTTGTCACAAAAGTATGGAGCTGACAAGAGAGAAGGAGTACGGTACTCTGCCAGTGTGAAGAATCTACAGAGGTATTACCAGTCACTAGTAGCAAGAGATAGACCACATTGAATGATGACGATGAGGACGAATCATATGTAGTACTATCATAGCTTAGTACAGAAATTCTACTGCTTTACTTTACTTTACTTTCTTTCACTCTGTACATGCAATTAGCTCACTGGCATGATTTTAAAAATAAAGCTTATGATAATCATATTATATGTATAGCTTATTCAATGTATGGCTTCATAGTTTATGTGATTGTTAATAAGGCCATGTTGATTTGATTGTATGGATGGCATCTGTGCGCGCATCGGTTTTCGTTAATTTAAAACTAAGTTTACGACAATCATACAAAACATCTGGAAACTAAGCAAACATACTCTGTAAATTGATTACTGTAATTCCCTATTTTTTTTTCACTGTACCGCAACGTAACGCAAGCAGGAGGTCAATGTTCACGGTTTTCACTGTCACCTCTGTACCGTGAACTTATCTTTACAGTTAGGAAATAATTCCTGGACTTTCTTTTTCCTGCAACTGTCACCACCGTGAATATATAGTTACGTGAACATGTCCATGTTTCTCAGACCGTGAAAAGTTTTGCTACCGTAAGTAGTAGTTGCAATTTCGTCATTAGTAGTATTTAGATACCTGCAATATGTAACTTTGAAATTGAGATAAGTGTAAAGTAAAGCTGTCGAGATTTAAAGTGCTTGTCGTTGTATCTTTGTAAAAAAAAAAGGGAGATAATTGCCAAGTGCCAGTTTTGTGAATACCTGTCGAGATTCAAACAGCTTGTCCTTGTATAATTGCAGTATGATTTATTTAGAATCTCTCATTTTTGTTTGGGGAAGGGTATGGAGTGAAATTCCTACATTTGCTCCGAAGCAAATGTTGGCCTTTCTAGTTATATTTTGAGCATGTCTAGTTTTGACATGTATCTGCTGGAGTACTCTGTAATGATAATAACAAGCTGTTAACGCGATGATAGCTGCCATCGTGAAACGCCTAATCTACAGTACAGTAGCATATGCCTTCTGACTGAAAAAAAATGAAAACATGTCAATACAGCCCAAAATGGAAGATTTAAAAAATCCTGTCAATAGTGCCAAAAATGGCACTGCTGACAGGACGATCCTGTCAATAGTGTCAAAAATGGCACTGCTGACAGGACGATCCTGTCAGCAGTGCAGTATTTCCTGTTATTGACAGGGTCGTCCTGTCAGCAGTGCAGTATTTTCTGCTATTGACAGGATCGTCCTGTCAGCAGTGCAGTATTTTCTGCTATTGACAGGATCGTCCTGTCAGCAGTGCAATATTTTCTGCTATTGACAGGACGATCCTGTCAATAGCCTCAGGCGAGTATTTTTCTGTCCTAGAACGCCGAATATCCACAATCCTACACGGTTAAATGTTTGCACTGTGAATAAAGATTGTATGTCCTCTGATGCCTAGCTAGGTTATAGCAAATGCTGGGGACCAATTTTTCATTGTCGTACTGGGGCCTTTACTACTATAGATAGTATATTTCAGATAGTATATGTTATAATGTATATGCCAATAAAACATGAATAGCTGAAAAGTGTTTTGTAAACCTTTCCATTGGCCCAAGCCCAGCAAACAACAACACTATTCAAATAACACAGAAGCATAAATTTAAACCAGTCACCAGTTTTATTATCCTCCATATTCAAACACTCACAGTTCCATTGCTTTCTATGATGTAACGTTACCTAGTGTACGCATACATGTCCGGAAAATTGATGAAAAATGTTCACGATAATCCTCACTACAATTCCTTGCTAGGATTGTTTAAACATAAGGTTGAAAAAATCAATGAATCGAGTGGCTCAGAGATTCTGTGATATTTTGAGGAATTTAAAGAAATAACGATTAATAGTATCAAAACCTAATCACCATTCCATCTTGTTGTTTAGTATTACTACTGCAATTAGAAAGCATTTTAAGATGTTGAGATTTTAAGATTAAATTTCAGCTGAAAAACGACCAGAGCTGGCCCAATCAACATTGCCCTAAGCAAGTTTAACTTGTTAACCTGCCTACGTTTCAATAACCCATTTAGTAACTTACTAAATGGGTTATTGAAACGTAGGCAGGTACATTCCTTTGTATTAGTGAATCGAAGAACTTAATCACCCATGTCTAATTAAACTATTGAAAGTCTTCTGCCTCAGCCGCCTGGTCCTGAGCTCCCTGCAGTTCTGTAAGAAAAAAGAGAAGATAAACAGGAGACGTAAGAAACACTAAGAACAACCCAAGACGGGGCAAACTGACAACAATCAAGGGGTAGGGCTGGAAAATCAGTCTAAAATAAATAGGTCTGACCTATTGACTGTCCGAAACGTTACTTCTTAGTTAGGCGACACCGACTTAATTTTATGGATGACATCCTCCGGCCAAAATAAACATGCTACTAAACCACAGGCATACAGTACTGTGAATTTGGCGCATTACATAGCGACGTATACGACAGGCCGGCACATGCTGGATTTTTGCGGAATTTACATGTATGCATCGACACTGTAACCGTTACGTATATGTACTGTGTTCTTGAGTCGTGGAGCTTCGGTAGCTTGGGTGCCGTCCTCCGGCTTCGTTGTCGCTAACCACCATGGACTACCCAGACCTAAAGCCAGGCCAGAGCCTCGGAAGACGTGATCTTTTTTTTTTTTTTAGATCAGGCGAAAGTCAATGCGCGCGGATGTCATCCATAAAATTAAGTCGGTGTGGCCTATAGTATAGAGCTATGGTGGGACTTAGCCACCTCAGACGTACCATTTGCCGTGACTTGCACCAGGCGGAGGCGCTGGAGTCCCACTTCAGGCT